AACTGCGTGTTTTCCCTGCTATTGCTGAACGAAGAAAAGAGGTTTGACTTTCTTCATATCTCTACTGCAAAAAGAGATATATTACTGGACTGATTATTTGTAAGTTTACTGACCTCTTTTTCAACACTGGACTTTGCAACTGATTAATCCCCGGATGGACTGAACTAGTGTATGATATATGGACTGTTTGACTATGCTATAACTCTGACTGGAATAAAAACTATTTAACTGGCACAGTGTATCTGTTTTACTGAATGTAAGCTACAACAACGTTTATCTCACATATCTGCCTGCCTGACTAACTGCCGTTGCACGTTCTGCTAGGGTGTATATCCCTAACAAGCATTAATTACAACTACAAAATCTTCTTACCAATTGCCTTTGTCATTTACAGTAAACAAAGATATCAAAGTATAAGCACAGCATAAATGACAAAGGCAACCGGTAAGAAGACTTTGTAATTGAATATTCTTTGACTGTTAAACGTATATGATCTGGACCGTTTATTGGACTGTGCTATTTCTTAAAGTAAATTTTAACTCAATTTAGTGTGTCTGTGTGTGGCTGAATAATTATTCGTAACTACTCTCATAAACCTTTCCATGTGCATATCCTTGTTACTCAAGGATTATTCTGTACATATCATAACAGTAAGAAAAACCAAAGGTACAAGTACAGATTAGGTGAAAACTGGCTCAAAAATAATGTGAGGGGACCTTGGAGTCCTAGTGGATGATCACTTACACATGAGTCAGCAGTGTGCAGCAGAGCCAAAAAAGCTAATACAATGGTTATATAAACAGAGGCATAGAATGAAAATCACATGAAATAGTAGTACCGCTTTTTAAAGCCTTCGTAAGACCACACCTGGAATACCTGGAATACTACATCCAGTTTTGATTGCCCAGATGTTGAGACTTTGGAAAAAGTGTAAAGAAGAGGAACTCAGATGATTAAATCATTTTGCTGCACTAATAAGGTGATCCATTGTTTCATTTTTTCTTGTTGCGTAAGCGGCGTTTACTATTGTTAGTAACATGTTGAATTTTTGCTTTCATGGAATTGGTCTCTAGGGATTGTTCTTGGGCAGCCAAAATGAAGCCTTCAGTTTCTTTCTTCAGCACCCCTTATCACAACCATCTCCATGTTAGCTTTGTTTCTGCCTTTCCTTCAACGTCCTTCAGTATTGACTGTGCATACACTTCTTTTTCCAGTTAGAAATATGATGTTCGATTGTTTCCTTTCGATATTCTGCCTTCAATCTTACATTTTCAAGAGTTTTCTCTTGTTCACCTTGTTCAGCAGAGGCTCTTTTGCTTCCTTATGTAATCATTTAAGCCATTTTTCTTCTTCTTTGTTTCATCTGTAAGAGTCTTCTGCCATTCTGAGATCTAGGCAAGTACAATCAATCAATATCACTTTTTGGGTGCAGAACATGATGCATTGTCATTAGTTTTCTTATCTTTCAAACTACGTTATCAAGTTCTAGCTGAGTCCAATCAATTGTTCCAGCTGAGTATCGTATTACAGGCACTGCCAAGGCACTGTGTTAATTGCCTTTATGATATTTCCTCCATGTAGCTTTGATCTCAAAATTTTCCAGACTCGTTTTATTTTATTTTGTGGAAGTAGCTTTCTTGACTTGGTTGTGCAACAGGTCAGAAGTTTCCAAAATTCCTAAGTACTTGTATCCTCCTTCTGGTGTTACTGCTTTTATCAATTCTTTATTATCAAGTTCAAATCCATCATTTTCAATATTTTTTTTCTGCCTTAATAGCAATTGTTGCATATTTGTCAATGCTAAAGTGCATCTCAATGTCTCTGCTAAACTTTTCAGCAGTGAGCTCCATTCAGCTTTTGTTTTTCCAAACAGTTTTAAATTATCCATGTAGAGCAAATGGGAATTTTTCAACTTTTTTTTTTGCCAATTCATAGCCAAAGTAACTTTGTTCAAAATGCTTGTTGGTGGCGCCATCAAAAGTACAAATAACAGAGATGATAATGAGGTCATCTTAGAAGATTCCTCATTTGATTTCAACTTCACCAAGTTCTTCTCCCAGGCATGATATTCTTCTGATTAAAATCGGAATTCTGATTTTTTTGGGAATCCCCCCCCTTTCCCCCCCCCCCTTCTTTTCCTCCTTCCCCTCCCCTCAGAGGCCCCGAGTCAGGAGTTGCTGACGCGGCTCCGCGCGGCTCCAGTCCCGCGTTGCCTCAGGAAGGGAAAGGCAAAAAGGAAGAGCCGCGGCAGCGCTTTGCAACGGCAGCAGCGGCTCCTGGTTTTGCCTTTCCCTTCCCGAGGCAACGCGGGACTGGAGCCGTGTGGAGCTGCGCCGGCGGTAGCAACTCCTGACATCCCCAGCCGGATACCTGAGCGGAGCCCGGGCGGTGCGAGCGGAGGCCACTGAGCGGCAGGAAAAGGGAGCTGGGCCAGCCACAGACCAGCCTCCGTGCAACACGCCACCGCCCGGCCCTGGTGAGGGAAAGCAGCGGGCGCTCCCTGGGCGCGCGGCAGGGGGTCTCTTTTGGCCGGCCCCGATTTTTTTTTCAGAGCGGAATATCATGCCTGTTCTCCACAGGCTATCAACTTAGTTTGCCATAGCTTCATAGAAATCTTTGGGAATTTCTGGATGTTGCTGCTAATTCCAAAAATGTCTAAGCATTTCTTAACCCAGCTGTGTGGAGCGGAATCAAATGTTTCTTATAATCAATCTGGCCACCAATAAGGGAAAGAAGTAAAAAGATTACCATGGCCACTGCATATAAGGAAAATTTGCTCAAACTGTTTTATTGATGGCATTTTCCACCATCCAGGTTAGCTAAGATGTATAAAAGCCAGTCCCCAAATTGTTGGAAATGCTCAGTGGAACGGGAAATGTATTACCATGCTTGGTGGAGCTGCAAAAAAGCACAAGAGTTTTGGCTCAGGATGGGGAAGTGGTTAGAGGAAATGTTGGGCTTTAAATTAGATCATGTACCAGAATGCTTTCTATTAGGAATCATGTCAAAAAATTACAATAAGGATGAGCTATATTTGATTATACATATTATTACTGCAGCCAGGATAGCATTTGCCCAGAACTGAAAAGAGTCAAACATACTGAGTGAAGACAAAGTAATAAACAAAATCTTGATATGTGTTGAAATGGACAAGCTAACTTTAGAAATGAAAAATAAAGATGAGTCAGCATTTTACGCAATTTGGGATAGATTCTATCACTGGTAGGAGCAGAAAGGAAGGTCTTACATTGGGAAAGGAGTTGCTGAGAGGGTAAATGAATGTATGAGATGAAAAGAGGACCAATGATGTTGGAAAATATAATATATGAGCGAACAAATGTACATATGTATATATTTGAATAACTGTATATAGGAATATATATATATATATATATATATATACCAATATATATATTTATATATATATATATATATATATATATAACACGATGCTCTTCCGACCTTAAGCTTTGTCAAACTGACTTCACTATGTTCAATATTTTTAATTGTTTTGTTCAAAAATTTTTTTTAAAAAAAGGACTCCAGCCTTGGGCAGGGGGTTGGACTAGATTGTCAAGGTTCCCTCCAGCCCTGTGATTCTTTGATTCTGTGTCTAAGAAGAAAAGCCTAAGTAGCAGTCTTCCAATACTTGCAGTACTGTCATACTGGAATGGTGTGGACTCGTTCTCCGTAGTGCCAGAAGATAGAACAATGAGTAGAAATTTTAAACTTGAACTAAGAAGAAACTTCCTAATAGTAGAACTATGAAACTATGGAAAAATTTGGTTCCTGGAGCAGTGATGCTCCCTCACTGGAGATTTTGAAAATAATTGGACAGCCATTTGTGTGAGATAATTTGAGGATTTCTGTCCAGCACAGGTGGTTAGACTAGAATATCTTCACAGGCCCTTATATCACTACAATTCTGTGATCTACAGTAAGTATGTTGCAAAGCTTTAATTGCAAAGGGTTGTTCTTCCCAGTAGGTTTCATGCCTCGAATTTATTTTCTAATGGAATATGTCAGTTAAATCAAACTTGATGTTTTTATTTTTTGCAGAACATTGATTTCTACCAATGAACATCTCTTAAAACAATTAAATGAATTGAATCTAAAACATAAAGCTGAGATAGAGCAACTACATTGCAACTACAATCAGTTAAAGAAAACAATGGATACTCTATCTTCTAAATCATAAACAATGAGAATAATAATAATAAAAGAAATTTTGAGTAAAGAATGTCTAAATGATAAATATTGTTGTGATAGACATGAAAAAGACTTTAATTGTGAAGGATATGTTATGTTGTTATTAAATATCATTTATTTTACTAGATTATTAAAAATATTGCATTATTTTAATGCAGATTTCAGTAACAAATGTTCTCTTATGGGGATTGATATTCACCTTAAAGATTTTTCAGATATGGATCATGATTTTTACACATATTATTGATAGAGTTGTAATTATCATACACTAGTAATACAATGGATACAATACTGAAATTGTTATACGATATTTTAGTATTTAGTATTTATTTGATTTGTCAATCGCTTACAAGATACAGGTATAAGAATAAATATAGTTTTGAATACGAGATAGATACTTATAAGAAAAATAAAAAACAATAGGACAGGGACGGTAGGCACGATTGGTGTGCTTATGCACGCCCCCTACAGGCCTCTTAGGAAGGGGGTGAGGTCAATAGTAGACAGTCTAAGGTTAAAGTTTTTGGGGTTTGGGGAAGAAACCATAGAGTCAGAGTATTCTAAACATTGACCACTCTGTTGCTGAAGTTGTATTTTCTGCAGCCAAGTTTGGTGCAGTTAACCTTGAGTTTGTATCTATTGTGTGCTCTTATATTGCTATGATTAAAGCTGAAGTATTCATTTGCAGGTAGGACATTGCAATGTATGATTTTATATACTATCTTTAGATCGGACTGGAGGCGGCGTATTTCTAGGTTTTCTAGGTGTAGAATTTCAAGTCTGGTGCATAAGGTATTCTGCAATGAGTTGAGGAGCGGAGAACTTTTCTTGTCAAATATTTCTGGACTTTTTCAATTGTGTTAATATCAGATACATGATATGGATTCCAGACTGATGAGCTGTATTCAAGTATAGGTCTAGCAAATGTTTTTTATGCTCTAGTTAGTAGTGTGATATTACCAGAGAAGAAGCTACGTAGGATTAGATTAACAACTCTTAATGCCTTTTTGGCTATGTAGTTACAGTGGGCTCTAGCACTTAGATCATTTGAGATGAGTACTCCAAGGTCCTTGACAAAGTTTGGATCCTCAACAAGGTCTTGACTATTTAGCTAGTATTTTATTTTCTGATTTTTTTTTGCCAATATGTAAGACAGAACATTTATTTGTCGAGATTTGAAGTTGCCATTATCTCATAAAACAATTCATACCTATGTTTAATTTGAAATCCTTCTGTGCATTCTTGGATGGGATTTTTTTTTTACTTTTTAATCTTAAAAATAACATTAAAAAACCTGTTCAAGTATATTTATGAATCTGTTTGAAGTAGAGGTAGTCCTCGACTTACAACAGTTCACTTAGTGATCATTCGAAGTTACAACAGCACTGAAAAAAGGACTTATGACCATTTTCCAACTTATGACTGTTGCAGCATCCTAATGGTCATGTAATTTACATTTGGATATTTGACAATTGACTCACATTTATGATGGTTGCAATGTCTTGAAGTCATGTGATCACCTTTTGCAATCTTCTGACAGCAAAGTCAATGGAGAAATCAGATTCATTTAGCAACCATGTTACTAATTTAATAACTGCAGTGATTTACTTAACAAATGTGACAAAAAAAGTCATAAATCAGGCAAATTTCTCACTTAGCAGCATAAATTTTGGGCTCAATTGTGGCTGTAAGTTGAAGACTATTTGTAGAATCATAGGTAATTTTAATAAACATAATTTTTATCAAAAGTTTTAAAAGCAATAATAACAGCTGATAAACTTTAAATTAGGCAGAGAAAATGAAAAGGAAAGCAAATAACAGAAAAAGTTAAAGTCACAATAACAGAATAAGGGAGAAAAAGAGAAAATATATAAAGTAATATATAAATGTATAAAGAAGTAGCTTCCAATAATCTTCACAGCAGTTATATATACAATTATATTTTAACTTCTCTCTTTGAATTTACATCATGGCTCTTTTTTTTTTTAAATAAAGTTTTATTTGGGTTTTCACACATACAAAATACAAGTAAAACATCTTTTTTTGAAAATAGCATGGTCCTGGGTTGAACTTCTTTATAGAGACACAAAACTCAATTTCATGTTCCTTTTTGTGTTCTATTCCATATCTTATACTATTCTACATTTTCTATATAGTTTTTCCCCTCTTTTAATTTTCTCAATTTTATTTTGATTATCTCATCTCAATTCAAATAATTATATTTATACTTTTGTCTGTTCTGTTTCAATTTCATATTATCTTTTCTCATTAAACAAATTTTCTCCTGTAGTTACTAATTGGAGTATGACACCTTTATATCTTTTAATTACATCCATTCAACTCTTATTTAAACTTCAATATATACCTTAAGGTTATGACCTTCAATATAATACATAATACATAACTTCCAATCAAATTCTGCTTGGTACATTCTTATAATACACACTATATTATTTGAAAAAAATTATAAATATATGTAATTATAAACCCTCATTCCATTCCAATTCAGTTCTATCATTAATAATCATTAAAATCTTAACATCTTTAACATTTCTTTTCAATTAAATATCATACTTCCTTAAAGACACATATTGCGGCTTTGCTCCGCATTAGGAAGGCTTCTCACTGGGTGGTCGAATGCATCAAGAAAAACACCAGGCCGGCTCTATCTTGGGTGAGCTGCCCCGATCACGAGTTTGGGAAGCTCTTTTATTAAAAACACATAGTGATACGTCATAAGCGGTGAATTCTATCCAATCATTATGTTACA